TCGAACAATGCACGGAGGCAACTAATCTAGGTCTCTGGCATTCTAGCGTGGCGCAGCAGTATCCACATGCGAGGAAGGACCACTTCGTCGTGCGCTTTAGTGATGTTAAGGCACACATCATTCCAGGCATCCTCGGATTGTGTCTCAGATTTCATCGCGGCGAGGGCATGAGTATGATGACAGTAGCGTAATTTGAATCCAGGTTGAGTGGCATGGTTAGTTGAGCTGGGGTGATTTGTTATCAGCTATAGGAATTAAGGGTGTAGGTCGGAAGTCGGCAGGGGATGCAATACCCGTGTCTGCGTTCTTTGGAGAGGGTACAGTTGAGAGTTTAACGGAATTACAGGATTCTAACAAGTGGGCTGCCAGGGTCAGGGCGTCCCATAGTCAAGGGGTGGTTGAGCGTTCTACTGCGGTCTTGAGGAGAAATATACGAGTACCATTCGGGTCAGGACCCTTATTTAGATAGCGCAGTATTGCCTCTAACACCATCTTGCATTTGAATAATAGGAAGAGAAAAAAACGGTCTATCCTTGTTTGTCGAATTCGTTGACCGATGGAAAAGCTCGTACAGAAATCCCCACATTGGAAAGCTTCGGTTCACTACGACGAGAAATAAACGGTTGATCGATATCATCATTACATGCACGTCTTGTAACCGAAGCTTCAGACAAGCAAATCCAAAACTCTTGCGAAAATGATGTTGCAAATAGCTGTTTGAAATTGCAAATGAGATCAAGCGGTCTTGATCCAGTCGGTTGATACTTCATTTGAAGGCATTTTGCTACCTTCAGTTTTTTTTCAGCATTCAATCCCAAGCTGTGTAAATGAGGTCGAATGGTCTTCATCTCTTATTCAGTACTTGAAAGCTTTCTTCTACCTTAAGTTTTCATTTGACATTCAACTCAAGCTGGTGTTTATCTGTACTGGTCTGAGAAACCGGGTAAAGACCTCGACCAGATACTCTCGAAACAACCCCGTAGTTTCTTATTTCAATCTCTGTCGGCAACAATTAATAGTATTCCAGGTGTAATTACTCGGCAAAATGAATCGTAAAATCAGGATCGGGCTGCGTCTTTCGTTGAGCTATACAAGGGATGCATATGCTTCGATTTGAGCGTGTCGGTATATACTGTTGCCTTCATTTATATTTATGTGTGTTGATATCATCACACAGCACACCCTTTATTGAAGAAATTATATATATATATATGCTGGCGTGGTGCCGCGTTGCGCTGTAGTATTATTCTTACTGGCGGTGGCAAAGCATACTCTTTTATGACATACCAAACGGTGGCATTGAAGCGCAGGAACCTTATAAATAAGCTGGTTGCTGCTAGCCATTGTTTTTTGAGATTGCCAATCCAAAATATTAGATACCGGAACTATAAATGTGTTGCTTTTGCTATGCCACATAATGTATTGCTGCAACGAAATACATTCTATTGTAAATAAGCCGTAGTGTAAGTTTTAGATTCAAGTGGTATATGACAGCCATCTTGCGTAAATTTCTTCGCAGTTGTTCGCCATCAGTACACCACGGATACTTGTTGACACTTAAAAACCTATCGTTTTCAAGTTATGACGAACTGATACGAGTGTCGGCGAATTTGTATTCTCTTGGAAAATCACACCAACTGTTGATGTAGAGGTACGACCGGTACCCTCACAGAGGACGGGAGAATATAACAATGGCAAACAACGTCTACATGTTCTTTTGAACCCTATTTCACTTCCGGTGTATGAAGATGTGAGCATACTTAGAGTATATGAGTGGACCATCCGACCCGAATTCCTTCCAGTTTCCTCTATACTGTCACACCCGAAATATCCGACATATCTGGCAGGTACACTGTTTCACCGCAAAGGACGATCATCTTTTGCTCATGGAAGAGTGCTTTCCCATATATTTGAAGGATTCTGGTTGTTAATCTATCTAAGTAAGACACCATCAGGCACTATGGCACACTTCATTTTTGGGAATAGATGAAATAATTGCAATGGGTGTATAGACATTTCAGCTGTAATTTTGACATGTACTTGTTTTTAAGACGGGTTGTTGTACCTATCGCATTGATCATATTTTAATTGAAAGTGTCCATAAGCTTTTTTTATACCCATTGATCCGAAATATCCACACACCCAATCTCCAAGCTTTGATATGCCAACAACTCTTCTCGATTACCAAGGAAATGGATTTCAAAGCATATGAGACCTTCAAATTTCAGCATATGTGTTTAACGTCTTCGCGTCCCTTAACACGTTGAAAAAGTGTAAGTTGATGATACTAATTCTTTTGTTTGTTACTTTCCAATTCTGTCATGAAGCACAACTTGTCGCCATTACTATACGAAACAACCACACCTAGGGTCGTTGTTCTACGGGGCTTCGTCCATACAACCAACCGTTAAAATACTAAATTGAGCCGATGCAGTAAGAGTTACAGTACTTTTTCGCACTTGTATTTATAATAAAAAACAAGGATTCTACTTGCTACTGCCATATTGAAATAAATAAGAGTATCCTAAGTACAACTGGAGAGTGTTGATATATATTCTATTTTTGGTTTCGAAACACTTTCTCTCGACGATTATTCACTGGCGCTGAAATGTGAATACACTCTGGATTTGCAATTGGAGTCCTTCGCATCATTTTCAGCATGTTTCGTGTGAGCAAGTAGAAAAACACACACACACACACACACACACACACACACACACACACACACACACACACACTATATATATATATATATATATATATATATATATATATATTATATAGTACTANACGTACGTAACTAACGTAACGTAACGTAACGTAACGTAAGG